ACAGCGCAGGAGTACGATGAGCTTAGAGAGCTCCTAATTAGAGAACAATTTCTTACTAGTTGCCACCCAAGCCTGTCACTGTACTTGAAAAAGAGGAGAGCTAAGTCACTTGAAGACATGCTTGAATTGGCTGATCAACTTTTGGAAGCGCAAGGTGGCACAAATTTGGCCAGAGTCAAGAAGGAGTGTCCCGAAGATTCGAAAAATTCGGCACTCGAGCAAAAGAAGCGTGCACCGGAGAGTGTTCCGCGATGTTTTTTGTGTAACCGAGTGGGTCATTGCGCGAACGACTGTCGTACAAACCTTACGAGTCCTACGGTAGTAAAATGTTTCAAGTGTGGTCAGACTGGGCACAAAGCAGACGCATGTCGTAACGGAGTGAGTCAAACTCACCGGGTATTCTGTGTGCTAACAGCACCGAAATCGGATGGTGATGCCGTCACCGACGGAATTGTAGAGTCGAAATATGGGGAGAAACTTCCTATTGTGGGTGCTGTAATGACAAAACAGCCAACCGGTGTTACGAAAGGAATGCCAACGCTGCCTGGAAAAGTTGCGGGCAAGAAGGTTACGGTGTTAAGAGATACCGGCAGCTCCACTGTTATCGTGCGGAAAAATTTGGTACGGGAAAGTGAGTTAACAGACAAAACGAAACCAGTCTGCCTAATTGAGAGTACGGTTCGGATGCTTCCCGAAGCAGAAATCGTGGTTGAAACTCCGTACTTCAACGGCAAGGTTACGGCTCTATGCATGACGACCCCCCTGTACGACCTCGTCATCGGAAACATCGACGGGGCGCGAGGGCCGAATGATCCAGAATGTTTGGGGGAAGACCCGAAGATGGAGGCCCCGCCGACACAGGGACCGCAAGATACAGTGGAGGAGCCTGCCGTGACGGATCTCACTCGAGCCCAAGGGGAAGCCGCAGTGCAAAGGACAGTGAATGAGAAAATGATCGTGTTGAATGAGTTCACGTGCTGGGCAACTGGACTTACGTCGGCACGACCTCAACTGACCGACAATGTAAAGATGACGGAGTCGGCCAGCCAGGCACAATGTCGTGACGTGAACAAGCGGGTGAATGACCGAACAGGATCGGTTGAACGTTATCACCCGTTAACAGTGACGGAAGGGACAACGATGGCTGAAACGCCGCCTCAGACCCCGTCGTTGGAAAGGGCTCGCCGAAAAAGAATGAGGAAAAATAAGAAGAGATCGAGCGAGCACCGCAAGAAAGGACGCAAGCGCAGATCGAAGTACACGGTATAGGTGCTGAGGTCAAATCGGAAGGCGTTTGGCTGTGTTGTTATTGTGTTATCCTGTGTCACAAGTGTCGAAGTGTTTGTGCTTTGACGTGATTTATAGGGTTGTGCAATTGTTGTACTGAGAGAACTTTGTACATTTGTATTGTCTGGAATATGTGATGGAGTGTTGTACTCATGCACCTGTGGTTATATTTCATGTGTTGTGAGATTGAATTACAATGTACAATTGTATTGAGTGATATATTGTGAATGTGACGTGTCATGAGCGACGGACTAGGTTACAGTCTTTCAGAGTGTGGGGACTGTTCGCGCTCGTTGGTGTGGTTTTAAATATTATGAGATAATATTCTTAAAGTGGGGGCAGTGTCACAAAACGAGCGCTCGAAAGGGCGCGCCGCCGCATTCTCGCGACGAAACGCCGGAGTGACGCCGCGAGGTCAACAATAATAAAAAAGAAAACAAGCATCCAAAGACTCCCCGGGCGAGCGTCCATCTCCCCTCGGAAGCGTGGGTTCGCTGACGAACCTCCTCTTATCGGCATCCGAGCAAGCCCTGGAATGTTCTAGATGGAAAGGGGCGGGGTGATGCCAGGTTGCGTCATCCGACGCAGACGGCCTTCAAGCCGTCTCGCCCTCTCCCCAGCCTTCGCTGCGTATCGCGCCGACGAAATGATGAGAACTTTCTGGAATCTCGCGCGGAAAGTATTTATTCGAGCAGCCGAGATGAGAGATCAGGAGAAGACGGAAGTTAGCGCCAGAGCGCGTAGGGATTCCGCCGTGTAGTCCGCGAAGGTTTTGTCCGTAGAGACAAAGCAGGAGAAGAAGATGATTTCCACCTGAGGGGTGACTGCTCGAGCTACAGGCAAGAGTGTGTGTTTACCGCTATCGAGCGAAGACGCGTGGCAACAGCTGCGTGTGGGAAGCCGACGTGTTTCCGGCGAAGAAGTTTGGAGCCTGGAAACGGTCAAGTGAAGAAGCGAGGTTTTCTGGAAGAGAAACTTCGGAGGCAGCAGAGCAAGGTTTCCTGGAAGAGAAACTTCGGGGGCATCGGAACGACGTGAGGTTTCCTGGAAGAGAAACTTCGGGGGCAGCGGAACGACAACAACGCTGGACTTTGAGTGAGTGATTCTCGGAAGAGTATCATCCAGACTTTTGTTCCAAGAACTTTGGACTGAATAGGTTTTCTATCTCTTTATTCTTTAAGTGTCTTGGTTGTTCAATGCATGCGACTGCATTGTAGTGCGTATTGTTGTCTGTGCCCGTTGTTTCGAGTGTGGCTGATTCTACTGTATAGTACGTTGTTTGATTGGTGACATATTGTATTCAACGATTCTTGAGTGTGCATACTTGTGTATTGTTTTTGATCTGCCAATATTGAGAATATAATATTGTTTTGTTTATCATTTCTCGGCTCTGACTTGTTATTTGGACCACAGTCGGCGTCCGCTGGCGTGCCAAATAGGACCACTTCTAAATTGTCCACGGTTTCGTGGTGAGGTTCGGGGAGCCGATACTTCGGCCCTTGGAATTAGCCCGGCGATCGCCTCCCAAATTAACGGGACCTGTGACACTGAGTTAACCCGAGAGGTCATGGTGAGATCTGGTGATGTGTCTTTAGAGAAGATCTTCCCTAAGCGGGTAAGCAATTCGAAGTCATTGTGCAGGGTGAGTTGATGATCCTGTATGTGGGCCCATAAGGCTCATCCTTTAGGCGTGGATGTTGTGTGACCCTATAACTGATTTGGAGAATTGAAGTCGCCAACAATGAGGAGTGGGTTTCTCCGGGCTTCTTGTTTAGCCCGAGCAAAAATGGTGGTAAATCGGTGGTGTCTTGAGCTGGGACTGCTGTAAATATTAAGAATTTAAAGAGGATCTGACCTCGTCTTTTCAGGAAGTATTTCTAGGAAGTCATGATCAATGTCGATACCGTCAAAATATGAGCAAGTAACGGTTAAGTGCTTTTGGGCTAAAATTGCGGTATTAGGGCGTTCGCATCTTGTGCTCTGGAATGTGGCGCATACCCACTTCAGGCATAATTCCTCATCGACCTCAGACACTGCATGAAAAATTAGCACAAAATTGCTTGCAAGTGTTTAGCGAATACCACGATTCTCAGAACAATGACGAAAAAAAGCGCAGCGAATGCCGGCCTACTACCCAAAAATGTTTATTATCAATGCTGTAGTGGGTATCAAGCAAGTGAGCTTGCAGCAGTTACCCAACGAGTGTTCGGAAAGGGCTCTGAAAGGACACTCTTCTGGATTTCGCTGCGACTTTGCTCCGCCTTCTGCGCAGGCCTGGCGTTCTTATTATTTTATTTGCGTCTTTTTCAATATTTTCACTCCCGAATATATGCTTTTTCGCTCACAAGCAACGAAACCGACCCCACCGCCAGAATTTCTTTAATGCTGTCGCGTAAATATAATGTCTAACTAAAAAAACGAGTCCCTAAATGCACACTTCTTTCCCTTACTATAATGGTAATCATGCACTACGGACAATCACGATTCACTTGCTACTCATTCACAAAACATTTGGTTCATTATAATGGCAGGTGTATACGTACGTGAACGTACGTACGTTGTTTTTTTTTTCGAACGAATTCATGCAATCTCTGTCCTTCACTTTCATTTGAATAAAATTTATGACTATTGAGTGTCATTGCTTCATATTGAAAAACAGTTTTCCTCGAATATTCTTGATTTTAAAGAAGTTGATATTCAAGTATTTCAAAGAACACAGAAGGCACAAATAGTTTCCAATCCTTGCGAATCAACTCTATGCTTTACTTAAAAAAACATTTTTGAAATAAAATGAAAATGTCCCCACCTCAATAATTTTGTTCATCGTAATTAGCTGCTACTCGTAAACATTTGTGCATTTGTAAAACTAAGCATGCACACGCACTCGAGATGTTCAGGCAGTGAGATATTAGGATATAGTCTGATATGAATAATCGCGGGAAAAATGACGCCCGGATGTTGAATCAATACAATCTCGTTAAAATTAAAAGAAACAATTACGCCTAAATAAAAAGGCCATAATGACGAACGTAAATGCCTAGGGATACAATTTGATACGTTGAAGTAAAGCTGTTCTCAAGCACACGCTTGCTTAATTCAAATTTCGCAAATAAGAAAAAGCTGCTTGAATTTATTTAGTACGCTATGAAAAATGCCAGAAATGCGGCCAAACACAAGGAAGTTACAAAATATAGCAGAGTATTAGTTTTTTTTTACTGGTACACTTTTCATTGCAGTACTGTATTTTATAAAAGGATTGAAACATCTAGGAGGAATAAACTTAATGTTATTCTTGCCCGAATTAAGACAAACTTGTATTCTCGTTGAATCATTACAAATTCATTCACACAGCGTGCTCCATTCATACGCTCAGAAACTGGCGCCCACACGAAATAAAGATACACTGACGCACAGACAGTAACCACCGGCACGACGAACAGTCTCATCAAAACGTCCCCTTACCAATATTGCAGGTCATCATGCAATTCCTTGAAGAAAATTACTGAAGAACCTCTTACACTGTTAAACTCGGCAACCGAGCATAACGAACAGTTAAGGCCTGGAGTGTATCCACATTCACTAAATAGGCCGGGCGTTGCCAGTTCAGGCATCGTTAGTACTGTGTAATATGATCAGTGTCACTTTGTTCATTTCCAAAATGCGCACTGCATTTTTTTCAGATACCTACCGTTAATTTTTTATTCGGTATTTACCTGTGGCCTTGCGACATTCCCGGTGATGGAAACTCGCTCAGTCGTTTGCGAGCCAGCGCCATCGTTTCGCTCTCCGGCATTCGGACGTTGTGGAGGAGCTGTCGACAGACAAGTTATATCAGTGTCGGCCCTCAGCTGTGTCAATACGCCTCTTTGCGTAACTCCCCCACCCCTTTCCCCTGTGCAGGATAGCGTAACAGCCCTCTCAAGCTGCATGGCTAACATCCCCGTCTTTCCTTCCTGTACCTCCCTTCCTTGCTCCGACTATAGCCGTACGCGTTGGAAACAATACGCTCAAGCTCACTGGCATAGTCTTACGCAGGGTGGCGTGGGAGAGGAGGCGGGGGTGGGCGGGAAGCTCCTAGTTGCCTAAGAGGGGTGGGGAGGATTGACATAATAGGGATGGAGGCACTGCGAGCAGCATTCACTCCTCCATTCTCCCACGAAAGGAAATGCAGCGCACACCTATATATATATATATATATATATATATATATATATATATATATATATATTTATATATATATATATATATAATATGAAGTCTTGGTAGTCTTGGCTGCGACAGCGTTTATTTGAGGAAAGACCTCGCAAAACGAATGGGCAGAGCCAGCACACAGACGATGACGATGATGATGACCAGAGTGGCAATGAGGGCAAAGAGACAAGCGGATGATGATGATTGTGATTATGCAGGGGTGAGGACGATGTAAGTTACAAATGCCCACACTAATGCCCCCCACTTGGAAGCGGACACCCTGGCCGCCGTAAGTCAAAGTGACGGGGAACGTCGCGTGAAAGGTTTCATGCGACAAACGTGGACAATCTCTGTGCTGCGGTAGCGGCGGTCTGTTGGGGCGACGAGTGGTGTCACACGATAATTAACCGGCGAAGTTTGTTCTAAAACAATGTATGGCCCGATGAAGCGTGGTTAGAATTTGTCACAGAGACCCGGAGTGCGAATAGGTGTCAAAAGCAGCACCTCGTCACCAGGTTGGAAAGACACAACGTGGTGGGATTCGTCATAGATGATCTTCCGCTCGTGCTGTCTCGCTTCAGTATTGATGCGAGCCTGATGGCGAGACTGGGCCAGGCGGGAAATGTATTCTTCGCTAGAATACTGACATGAATTCCCATGGCTGCTAAAGAAGGAGACGTCGAGAAAGGTAGTCGGGGTGCGTCCGTACACGAGGTAAAACGGTGAGTAGCAAGTTGTTCGCTCAACAGCGGTGTTGTAAGCGAATGTCAGGAATGGTAAAAGAGTATCCCAGTTTTTGTGGTCGGGTTGGACGTAAACGGCTATCATGTCTGCAAGGGTTCGGTGAAATCTTTCTGTGGGACCATTTGTCTGAGGGTGGTAGCTTGAAGCTGTCTTGTGAGTAGTTCCAGAAGCGCGCAGTACTTCATTTACAACTTGTGACAGGAACACTTTGCCGCGGTCACTAAGCAGTACACGAGGAGCCCCATGACGCAGTATTATTGCGTGAAAAATAAAGTCTGCAACTTCCACCGCTGAGCCTGTAATAACAGAGGAAGTCTCAGCATAGCGTGTCAGGTGGTCCACGGCAGCCACTATCCATCGTTTGCCAGCAGATGTGACGGGGAGAAGCCCGTAAAGGTCAACACCTACAACCTCGAACGGCATCGAAGGGCACGGAAGTGGCTGTAGAGGTCCAGCAGGTGCCGACGTGGGGAGTTTACGACGCTGGCATGGGTAGCCGGAACCGACGTACCGAGCTACACTAGAAGAAAGGCCAGGCCAGTAATAACGACATCGAATGCGGTCAAGAGTTCTTTTTTTTAAACCAAAATGACCAGCAGTCAAGTCATCGTGGAAGGCTTCGAGCACCTGAAGTCGAAGAGAGCGTGGCAGTACAGGAACCCAGCGCTGACCGTCAGGGTGGTAGACGTGGCGGTAGAGAACCCCATTGTCCAGCTTAAAGTGCAGGAGTTGATGACGGAGTCGTGCGTTTCGTGGATGAGAAACTCCCGAAAGGTGGTCCATGATGCGTCTGCAGTATGAATTAGACCACTGGCGAGAGATAAATGTTGGCTCGTCGTCCGAAAAGGGTTGCGTTATTTATGCGAGCGTATGAACTTTGGTAGATGTGGCGGTTGAGTTCTCACCAACGCTCATATGGGTAGTTGGAAGCGGGCAACGAGATAAAGCATCGGCGTCTTGATGTTTTCTGCCTGACTTGTAAGTTATGTCAAAGTGGTACTCCTGCAAGCGTAGTATCCACCGACCCAAGCGTCCGGACAAGTTCTTCAGTGTAGAAAGCCAGCATAAGGCATGGTGGTCCGTAACGATTGTGAAGTGACGGCCGTGGAGTTAGGGACGGAACTTCTGAACCGACCAAACCACAGCCAAACACTCTTGCTCAGTTATAGTGTAGTTCTTTTCAGCAGCGATGAGTACGCGACTGGCATATGCAACAAAATTCTCTAGGGAAGACTTGTCGCGTTGTAGAAGAACGGCTCCTATACCAAGGCCGCTAGCGTGGGTATGGAGGATAGTTGGTGCGGCTTCGTCAAAGTGGCAGAGCAGAGGTTCAGACGTGAGTGCCCGCTTCAACAGGTCGAATGCTGTTTGGCATTCTTGAGACCACAGAAAGGGGACGTTGGAGGCAAGCAGTTGGTGTAATGGAGCAGCAATAGAATCGAAGTTCTGGATAAACCGGCGAAAATAGGAGGCAAGGCCAAGGAAACTGCGAAGCTCTTTTGGTTTTTCGGGGCGCGGAAAGTGAAGGACTGCAGAAATCTTGTCAGGGTCGGGCCGGATGCCATCTTTGCTAACGACGTGTCCTAAGACCTTAATATATTTGCTAGCGAAAGAGCATTTTTTCGTGTTTATTTGAAGCCCGGCGCCGGCAAGGCACGTCAAAACTTGATCCAATCGTTCTAGGTGCTCAGGAAACGTTGACGAAAAGATAATAATGTCGTCCAGGTAGCAAAGGCAACTTTTTCATTTCAGGCCGCGCAGCACGGTATCTATCATGCGCTCAAAAGTCGCGGGTGCGTTGCAGAGCCCGAAAGGCATCACGTCGAATTCATATAGCCCGTCGGGGGTTGCGAATGCCGTTTTCTCCTTATCGTCTTCATGCATAGGGATCTGCCAGTACCCAGAACGCAAGTCGATGCTTGAAAAGAATTCCGCGCCTTGTAGGGAATCAAGGGCGTCGTCAATGCGTGGCATAGGGTACACGTACTTGCGTGTGATCTTATTGAGCGCCCGGTAGTCCACGCAAAACCGCACAGAGCCATCCTTTTTATGGACCAAAACAATAGGAGACGACCAAGGGCTAGATGAGGGACGGATGACTTCCCGTTTAAGCATGTCCGCAACGTTTTCTTCTATAATTTTTCTTTCAGTTAGAGACACGAGGTAGGGTCGGCGGTGTACAATAGATGTCCCAACAGTTTGAATTCGATGTGCTGTAGTATTAGTGCGGCCCAGCTTAGACGAGCAAATATCGAAAGAATTGGCATGTTTCTGTAACAATGCGAGCAGCTGCTGCCTCTGTGAATATGTCAATTCGCTGCTGATTGTGGTGGTAAAGGCGGAGGAAGAAACATGCTCACCGAGGCAAGGTTCTTTGGATGCGATGGCCTGAAGTGGCGTGACGAGTACAGGCTCGAAGTCAGCAACACGGGCCACAGTAGTGCCCTATGGCAGTAAGATCTTCTCCGGTGTAGAGTTGACAGCGGTGACAAGTGCCGAGCCATTGCAAAAACGAACGACACCGGACGGAAGAACTATACCTTTGCGAACGCAAAGTGGTGACGGTGAGACCAATACATCCCCGTGATAGATGTCGTTGGACGTAATGCTGACAATTTGCTCGTGTAGTGGCGGGAGTTCGATGTCTTTCGCAGCGACCAGACGAAGTGGCTTCTGATTATCGTCGTCAAGCATGTAGTCGGTGTCAGCGAGGTGAACGACGCGTTGTCCACAACAAATCGCCGCTGAAGCAGATGATAGAAAATCCCACCCTAAAATTAGTTGGTGAGAGCAGCGGGACAGGAACGCAAAGTGGACATGATGGCGGATGCCGTCGATGAAAACACGCGCAGTACAAAGCGCGGAAGGGCGAATGATGTTCCCCTGTGCAGCAACTAACGTGGGGCCATCGTAAGGCGTCATTACATTCCTTAAATATTCACACAAATCAGCACGTATCACAGACAATGTCGCACCTGTGTCCAACAAAGCATCGACTCGCACTCCTTCCACTTCCACAGAAACCATGTTACACGAGCCTAATAAAGGAATTTCAGTTCTAATTCCGAATGCAGTTTTTCCTCCACAAACTGCATCACTTAGTTTTCCGAATGAATATTAGAGGTGAATGAGGCGGGCCGAAGTGGAGAAGTGGAACGGCGAAAGGGCGAAGGCGAGCGGCGTCTCGTGTTTCGGCTGTTTCGTGGTGCAGTCGATGCCGGAGGATATGGTGACTGGTGCCGGGGAGACGAATAACGCCGACCTTGATAATACGCCCCGGTGTACAAATCCCGTTCACGCACATCGTTCCGACGCTCATCTTGCTGGCGCTTTCGGCAGAAACGAGATATGTGGCCGCGATAGCCACAGTAGTAGCATACAGGGCGAGAGGAGCGCCACGGTGGGGAATAGAAGGCATTCGGGGCACCTGGAGCTAGCGCGGTCAGGTGGGCCGAAGGGTCAGGGGGCACGGAATGGTAGTTCACAGGGGTAGCGGCAGCAACTGACGCGTAGGATGGACGTGGCAATGTCGCATGGGCGTCGCTGGGAGGCACGGCAGCAACTTGAGGGTACGTGGGTATAGGGTGAGAAGCAAATGGCTGTACGGGCGCAGAGCCAGTCAGGGATGTAAGTTCCTCCCTGATGATGTCACGTAAGGGCATTCCCGGAGGCTCTGTAGGTCCCGGTGTAGGAGGTGTGAAGCCCATGGACCGCAATTCTTCGCGTATAATGTCCCGGATGAGGTCACGCAGATGGCCATCTGACGTGGAGTGGTGGTCGCCGATGTCTGGTTGAAGGCGGACGGAGTCCAGTGCATGAAGGCGCTGGCATGTCGCCACGACATCAGCGATGGTAGCTGGGTTTTGCACAGCGAGGGCATTAAAGGCAACAGGCCCAATGCCTTTCAATATGTGGCGCACTTCGTCCGATTCCGGCATGGATTTATTGACACGCCGGCAGAGTGCGAGGACATCCTCGATGTATGAAGTATACGATTCACCGGGATGTAGTCGGCGAGCATCGAGTGTTCTCTTCGCGACGGCCGATCGAATGACTGGTGTCCCAAAGACGTGCCGCAGCTGCTGCTCGAAGGTAGCCCAGTCGGGTAAGTCAACGACGTGGTTAAAATACCATGTCTTCGCGACTCCGACCAGATAAAAAGGCACGTAACGCAGTTTGGCGGCCTCGTCCCACCTATTAGCGGCACTTACGCGGTCGTAGTCATCAATCCAGTCTTCTACGTCTTCTCCCCAAAGACCAGCGAAGAGCGGGGGTTCCCGCTGATGTCCGTCTATGTAAGTAGGAGGGGCAGCTTGCGGCGGTGCGTGGTTGATGACATCAGTGCCGGCAGGCTCAGTCTGGGACATGCTGCCTGACTGTGGGCGCAAGCGGCGGCCTGAACGAAGCTCCAGGGGGTATACCGGGCTCAGGGAGGTCAGAGGACCGAAAATCCACCTCCACCACGTATGAAGTCTTGGTAGTCTTGGCTGCGACAGCGTTTATTTGAGGAAAGACCTCGCAAAACGAACGGGCAGAGCCAGCACACAGACGATGACGATGATGATGACCAGAGTGGCAATGAGGGCAAACAGACAAGCGGATGAAGGTGATTGTGATTATGCAGGGATGAGGACGATGTAAGTTACAAATGCCCACACTAAATATATATATATATATATATATATATATATATATATATATATATATATATAAAATAAGGGAAAGAAGTGTATACCTAAGGGCTCGTTTTTCCGTGTTTTTAACACAATAATAATGAGATATAACAGACAGTAATGCCAAGGAATTCCTTGGCATTACTGTCTGTTATATCTCATTATATATATATATATATATATATATATATGTATGTATATATATATATATTATTTATTTATTTATTTATTTATTTATATATGCTCATTGGTGTTTCGCTTATAGGCAGTGACACAATGTAGAGCTCGAATCTATTGTTTCGGTTACTGAAGAACACCTCTGCTTCGCAGAATGAAGAGCTGATGGGGTGCAAGCGACGAATATCAAGCTGCATGCAAGAAGCTGCCGAGCCACCAGATTGTTTTTTTTTCTTTTACAGCTTTCTTTCTGGTGTGTTTTGTCACACATACTTACTCGTAGCTTGTCGAGATGGAGTAGAAGAGCTGGTCCCCATCTTGGAAGGAAGCTGCAAATAAAGAGGGAATTGAGCCCGCCTTCCAACACGCAGCACAAGACTTATTCGGGTTGAGTACGACTTGAAGGGCTATAATGTTATTTTATGAATGTATATTTCTTGTTCGGGAAAATGAGGCGTTAATTTCAGCACAATAATGAGAGCGGCACCAGCAATCTGCGGTTTCACTACCTACAACTGGCGTCCGCCCACTGGAGTGAGGCAAGTACACATGAAAGAGATAAAGGAGGACGCCTCAAAAAATCGCCGCCAAAGCATTCCGTTAAAAAAACTGGTTAGAAAGAGAAAGCTGAAACGTGCGGCCCCGGTGTCGAACAGTGCTTTGAGCCCGACGTGACACGGAAGTCTTTCGCAATAATTGGTTACATGTCCGTGCTTCTAAATGAGGTTAGGCACGTTTGGTTTGGGTTTACCACAGCGTTTGTTTCACATGGCGCACATTGCGTCGCGCATGATCACGGTCATGGAGGAGCGTAATGAGCGGTTCAGATGCGTTTCCCAATGCGTTAATCATAGTGGTTGTCCTCGAACCACAGGCGGTCGCAGACGTCGCAGCCGAAGCCAATGTGCCGCTGGAAAAACTCCCGCCCAAAGCGTGCGTTCGCCCCCATACGAACGCTCTCCCGCAATCTTCGCGTTGACGCTGTCGTTTCCGCTACGGCGCCGCGTTGTTGCAAGCGCTTGACATCGCGAGCGTGGTTTGCAGGATCCGTCCGTCACTGGCGCTTGCGTTCCCATTCGCGATTTAGCGCGGTTTGGAACGCTGCCGGGTCGGCGGTACAACAACCGGATCTGGGCACAACAGATGCCGGATCCGGGCACTAAAACGGGCTCTCCCTGGCTTGTTGTTGTGCCCGGATTGTCACATCAGCTCGACGAATGCGAGTCCTCTCACGTTCTCATGGTCGGCGCTTTTCTAGAGTTGTCCGTCGCACACCCATGCCCCGGATAACTTATGTATATTATTATATATGTATTATCTTTTTCGCATCACTAAAAACTTATTCTCTTTCTCCTCCTTCTCCTTCTTCTTCTGCTCCTTCTTCTCCTCCTTCTCCTCCTCCTTCTCGTCCTCCTCCTCCTCCGAGCCACCACCCGATCTAAAGAACACAGCCGGATACATCCACCCATCCATTCATCCGTATAGCGTAAGTGTACATAGCGTAAGTGTACATAGCGTAAGTGTATATGCTACATTTAGGCAGCACAGTAGCGCATTTGCTTTGAATAGCCGCTAGCAACCATGCACTGCGGAGAAGCTGGCGCACAGGCCGCACCACCAAAAGCGGTCGCCGTGCACCTAGCATTTATGAAGTGACTGTCGTGCGCACTGTAGATCGTTAGCTACGAACTGGTACTTTCATTTGCTTTAGATTCATGTCCTTAAGCTTCGACAGCAAAGTATTTGGGTGGATTCGGTGCCATTTTCAAAAAAACATACTGAAATAATCAATGCTCTTGGCTAGGTGGGGCGTTCCTTGAACTTGCAGGACCAATATTTTGTGATTGTGAATTTCAGCTCTTCTTCCATAGCTGGCACGACTTTACCATGCGGTACGGTACATGCTATTCGGCACTACGCTACGCCTTATTAGCGGTTTGTGTTACCGGACAGACTAAAATTGCCTGTTTAATTCCCGTGGCACAGTCCCGAAAGCATCTGTTTCTTTTTTCTTGGCCGCTTGTTGACACGCCAGGCACGGCGACTGGGAATTGGCGCGACACGCTTCGTCGATCGGCAACAGGCTTAATCAAGTCTCCTGCAAAAACAGAGTACGGCTTCACCGCGTAACTGCCGTCGCTAACCCCGCAAGATGGCGGGCCTATGCGCTACTCTGCTCCCGTAGGTAGCGTATACAGTTACTCTATACATGTAATGCATGTTGCGCGCTTTCGCTTTCACCCGGAGTCGCCGGATGGAAGACAAGGCTGTGGAGCGGAGGTAACGGAAAGCGGCGGCAGCGCGCGTTCGCGGGCAAAATCCTGAGGCGAGAGCTTGGAATGCCGAGGCTGCTCGACAAGCTGAGCGACGGTGGCGCGAAGACCCTGCCCTTCGCGAAAGTGGAGCAGTGGCACTGCAGCGGCGTTGTTCGACCATGACAACTACAGGCAAGGACAGACAGACAGACAGACAGACAGACAGACAGACAGACAGACAGACAGACAGACAGACAGACAGACAGACAGACAGATAGATAGATAGATAGATAGATAGATAGATAGATAGATAGATAGATAGATAGATAGATAGATAGATAGATAGATAGATAGATAGATAGATAGATAGATAGATAGATAGATAGATAGATAGATAGATAGATAGATAGATAGATAGATAGATAGATAGATAGATAGATACTTTACCCCACGCCGGAACAGAACAAGGAAAAACAAGAAGAGATCGAGCAAGCACCACAAAAAAGGCCGCTCAAGGTACACAGGATAGGGGCCGAGGTGGAATCGGAATGTGTTTGACAGTGCTATATGTTAAGTTACTGTGGTTGTTATCCTGTGTCACAACTGTATGTCGAGCGAGTCAAAATGTTTGTTACGGTGGTGTGATGGGATGTATTGGACAATTGTTGTAGTGAAAGAACTTTGTACATTTGTATTGTTTGGAATATGTGATGGAGTGTTGTACTCATGTACCTGTGGATATATTTCGTGTGTTCTGAGATTGAATTACAATGTACAATTTTATTGAGTGATCTGTTGTGAATGTGACGTGTCATGAGCGACGGACTATGTTGCAGTCTTTGAGAGTGTGGGGACTGTTCGCGCTCGTTTGGGTGGTTTTGAATATTATGAGATAATATTCTTAAAGTGGGGGGCAGTGTCACAAAACGAGTGCTCAAAAAAGGGCGCGCCGCCAAATTATCGCGACGAAACGCCGGAGTGACGCCGCGAGGTCAACGATAAAAAAAACAAGCATCTAAAGACTCCCCAGGCACGCGACTCTCTCCCCTCGGAAGCGTAGGTTCGCCGAAGAACCTCCTCACCCCACATCGGCGGCCGAGCAAGCCCTCGAAATTTCTAGATGGAAAGGGGCGTGGTGATGCCGGGTTGAGTCATCCGTCGCGGACGGCCCTCGTATCATCTCGACCATTCCCCCAGCCTTCGCTGCTCATCGCGCCGACGAAATGATGAGAACTTTCTGGAATCTCGCGCGGAAGGTATTTAATCGAGCAGCCTGAGACGAGAGATCAGGAGAAGACGGAAGTTAGCGCCAGAGCGCGTGGGGATTGCGCCGTGTAGTCGGCGAAGGTTTTGTCCGTAGAGACAAAGCAGGAGAAGAAGATGATTTCCACCTGAGGGGTGACGACTCGAGCTACAGGCAAGAGTGTGTGTTTACCACTGTCGAGCGAAGACGCGTAGCAACAGCTGCGTGTGTGAAGCCGACGTGTTTCCGGCGAAGAAGTTTGAAGCTTGGAGAGCGGCCAAGTAAAGACGTGAGGTTTCCTGGACGAGAAACTTGGAGGCAGCGTAACGACAGAGGTTTCCTGGAAGAGAAACTTCGGGGGCGTCGGAACGACGTGAGGTTTCCTGGAAGAGGAACTTCGGTGGCAGCGGAACGACAACAACGCTGGACTTTGAGTGAGTGATTCTCGGAAGAGTATCATCCAGGCTTTTGTTCCAAGAACTTTGGACTGAATAGGTTTTCTATCTCTTTAGTCTTTAAGTGTCTTGGTTGTTCAATGCATGCGACTGCATTGTAGTGCGTATTGTTGTCTGTGTCCGTTGCTTCGAGTGTGGCTCATTGTACTGTGTAGTACATTGTCTTGATTGGTGGCATATTGTATTTAACTATTGTGGAGTGTTCATACTTGTGTATTGTTTTTGATCTGCCATTATTGAGAATATATTATTGTTTTGTTTATCAACTCTCGTCTCTGACTTGTTCTTTGGACCACAGCCGGCAGTCCGCTGGCGCGCCAAATAGGACCACTTCTAAATTGTCCACGCTTTCGTGGTGCGGTTCGGAGGGCCGATACTTCGGCCCTTGGAATTAGCCCGGCGATCGCCTCTCAAATTAACGGGACCTGTGACAATTAATTTGGCGTCCACGACAGGACCTTTTGGTGCACAGTGTGTCCAAAGTATTGAGAAAGAGCCTCGAGTTGTTGATAGTGCTATCGGAACGATTTTGTGTGTTGTTCAGTGTTCTCGTTAACGAGTGCAGGAGAGTGTGCTGATAGACTGATTTAGGCAGATACGTTTTACACGCGGCAAGACTTTATTTGCGAGACACCATGGATCTCGAAAAGTTAGTTGCTCTTGGTGAGAAGATGGGTCTTTCTGGCACCGAACTACGGAAGTGGGTAAGCCAGAAGGAGAAAGAGGCGATGGAGAGAGAAAAGTTGGCAGCCGAAAGGGCAAGAGAAGAAAGAGAAGCAAAGGAGCGACAGCTGAAGGAAGAAAGAGAGCAGCAATTGAATTTGGAGCTGGAGAGAGAAAAGTTGGCAGCTTAAAGGGCGAGAGAAGAAAGAAAAGCGGAGATGGCTGAAAGCGAACAGCAGCGGCAGCACGAGATGGAACTTGAGCGGCTCCGTTTGCAAGAGCGAAGTGAAATTTCGGTCCAAGCTAGAGTTGAAAGCAGCGAACGGGAGGACCACGGCTTCCGCTTGAACCCAAGCAGCTGCTCGTAGCATTTGATGAAAGGAAGGAAGACCTTGACGCGTACCTTCACAGATTTGAGACGATTGCGAGAAGCCAGAATTGGTCGGAACATCAATGGGCAACTGCTTTGAGTACTTGCTTGAGTGGTGAAGCGCTCAGTGTGTACGGTAGGCTGACGCCGACCGATGCAGCCAACTATGCAAAGGTGAAAGCTGCTTTACTGAAGCGATCTAGATTTACTGTGGAAAGATTCCGGGTCAGATTTCGGACAGGAAAGCCAGCTGATGGTGAGACGGCTACACAGTATGCCGCCCGACTTAGCCTTTATTTCGACAGATAGATTGAACTTTCAGGGACAGCGCAGAAGTACGATG